GTCTCGCTCTTGCTCAGGCTGGTTTCGAACTCCTGAGCTCAAACAATCCGCCTGCCTCGGCCTTCCAGAGAGCTAGGATTACAGGCGTGAGCCACTGCGCCGGGCCCTGATTTAAATTTTGTGAAATCCTTTTACTACATCTGTGAAATGATCCTACGTTTTAATCTATTAATACAGTAGATTATTAGATTTCCACTTGTTATATCAAGCTTTCATTTCTGATAAATCTCACTAGGTTGTGGTTCATCATTCTTTATATATATTGCTGGGTTTAAAGTAGTTGCTCTAGGTTTTACAATATACACCCTTTTTTAGACAGAGTCTCACTCTGTCGCCTGGGTAGAGTACAGTGGCATCATTGTAGCTCACTGCAACCTCTAACTCTTGGGCTCAAGTGATCTTCTTGCCTCAGCCTCCTGAGTAGCTTGGACTACAGGCCCATGCCACCGCACCAGGCTAATTTTCCTATTTTTGGTAGAGATGGGGTCTCACTGTTGCTCAGACTAGTCTCAAACTCTTGACCTCAAAGGATCCCCCTGCCTCATCCTCTGAGTGCTAGGATTACAGGTATGAGCCACCACACCCAGCCTACAGTATATACTTTTAACTTACCATCAAATACTAGTGTGGTCCCCAATCCCTGGGGCCACAGACCTGTACCATTCCAAGTCCTGTTAGGAACTCGGCCGAACAGCAGAAGGGTAAGCTCAGGTGAGCCAGCTTCATCTATATTTACAGCCATTCCCCATTGCTTGCATAACCCTATAAGCTCCGTCTCCTGTCAGATCAGCGGCTGCATTAGATTCTCATAGGAGCACGAACCCTACTGCAAGCTGCACATTGGAGTAATTTAGGTTGCCCGCTCCTTATGAGAATCTAATGCCGGATGATCTGACATGGAGCTCAGATGGTGATGCTAGCACTGGGGAGTGGCCACAAATATAGATTATCATTAGCAGAGAGATTTGACTGCATGATAAATGTAATGCATTTGAATCATCCCCAAACCATGCCCTCCCCCACGCTCTGGTCCATGGAAAAATTGTTTTCCATGAAATAGGTCCCTGGTGCCAGAAAGGCTGAGGACTGCTGAAATACTATACAACTTCACTCAAAGTGTTAGAAATTAAAACAGTATACTTCCTTTCCCCGTGTCCCATCCTTGCTATTGTAATACATTTTAAAGCTACATATATATCATCAACCCCACAATTCCTCATTGCTATTTATGCTTTAAATAATTAACTTATGAAGAGATTTTAAAATGTGGGATGTCTTTTATATTTACCAAAATCACTAGAACATTTTACATGAAGCACATTCCATCTAATTTGCTGCAGTCTACTCCACTATTAATTCAGTGGTTGTCCCCACCCTTTCCCCCTACCTGCAGTTTTACAGTGACACTAGCCTACTAAATTTTGGGTATCGGGGCACTTGGCTTTGTAGAACCTAGAGTAGAGACTGCTCTCAACAGTATTGGGCATTACGTGGTATCCCCTGTAACAACAACACACCATTCATGTTGCTCCCAGAAGCAATGGACGTTGTCTCAACTTCCTGCCTCCTCAGGGTCTCCTCTTAGCCTATAAAAAATTCCTGGCATCCAGTCTACAAATTAGGACCATAAAACCCTGCATTCTTTCCTAGGAGGCCTTGGGAAACAATTCAAGTTAGGCCAAAACTGAAAAGAGAGCAATATTCTTCCATCATATTATCATCTCTGAGGCACACGAATAATGTGATACCCCTCCAGACACACACATAAAGGCATTTACTCCATAATTCTGGCAGGTTCCAATTCTGTTTTCAAACAACCACATATAGTGAATCAAACCCCAAGATTTAAAGTAGTTTAAATAATAAAGCCTTTATTATTGTAAAAATCAAAGCAATGTGAGGCAAGAAGTTCCCAAGTTGGTGACTTGGAGGCTGGAAAAAATCCACGTAAGCATCACGTGAGACCAACATGTCCCTGAAAGAGACAGTCCTTCCTGGCAGGCTGCCAACAAACTCCTATCTGGTTCTGTGGTACAAAACTGGGTCAAGTCTTCACCTTCATGTGCCAGAGAGAAGGAAACGAGGACCCCCCTGAGGGCTCAGACTACTCATGATTTCCTCCAGCAAACGGGAGAACACAGCAGTCTGCTTCCCTGAGCAGACTGGGCTGGCAAATGATGCATACTCTGCGGACCTGGCAGGTGGTGGAGGAGATATGGCTTCTGCCTCAGAAACTGTCAGTGACATAAATGGCAAAGGCCATGAATGGCAGGTTGGAAAGTGTAACACAGCTCCTTAAAGCTTCCACACACCTGGGACTTAAGGGGAATTTCCCCACCATGCAACTTCAGATGTTGGGGCTTTAATGCAGGTAGATGGCTCTCTCAAAGGTGTTCTCCTCCAGTGTAATTACACTAAAAGAAAACTGCATATTCCCTGTCCAGCTAAGTCCTTTCTCCAGGGTGAACTCTCTGGTGTTGAGTGAGGACAGATTTGCAGCCAAAGGATTTCCCACATTTACCGCACTGATAAGGCCTTTTTCCAGTGTGAACTCTCCAGTGTTGAATGAGGCTGGAACTTTGGCTAAAGCATTTCCCACATTCACTGCACTCATAAGGCCTTTCTCCAGTGTGAACTCTCAGGTGTTTAATGAGATTAGACTTACAGCTAAAGGATTTCCCACACTCACTGCACTCGACAGGCCTTTCTCCAGTGTGAACTCTCTGGTGGTTCTTAAGGTTGGAGCTATGGCTAAAAGATTTCCCACATTCACCACACACATAAGGCCTTTCCCCTGTGTGGACTTTCCGATGTGAACTGAAGCTGGAGCTTTGCTTAAATGATTTCCCGCATTTACTGCACTCATATGGCCTTTCTCCAGTGTGAAGTCTCCGGTGGTGAATGAGGCTGGAGCTTCGGCTAAAGGATTTTCCACATTCACTGCACTCATGGGGCCTTTCTCCAGTGTGAACTCTCTGGTGGTAAATCAGGCTGAAGTTTTGGCTAAAAGATTTCCCACATTCGTTGCATTCGTAGGGCCTTTCTCCAGTGTGAACTCTCCGATGTTGAATGAGGTTGGATCTTTGGCTAAAGGATTTCCCACATTCCTCACACTCATAAGGCCTTTCTCCAGTGTGAACTTTCCTATGGCTATTGAGGCTGTAGATTTGACTAAAGGATTTCCCACATTCAGGGCACTCATAAGGCCTTTCTCCAGTGTGAACTCTCTGATGTATAATGAAGCTGGAGTAGTAGGTAAAGAATTTTCCACATTCATTGCATTCATAAGGCCTTTCTTCACTGTGGACTTTCTGGTGCTGAATGAGGTTACATCTCCGAGTGCAGGCTTTCCCACATTTGCTGCACTCAAAAAGCCGTTCTCTGGTGAGGATTCTCTGGTCCTGAACAAGTGTGTCTGTGCGGCTGAAGGGTTTCTTGAATTCTCCCCAGTTGTGATGACTTTCTCCATTGTGAAAGGTCACCTCACATCTCTTATGGCTATTTGGCCTCTCTCCTGTGTGAATGGCCTGCTGATGGAGAAATCCCCTGTTGGCCAGGAAGCCCTTTCCAACCTCCCTGCAGGTAAAGGGCTTCCCTGACACAGGAACTGTGTAGCTCTTTATAAATGAGGCTCTGTCCACAGAACTTCTGAAGGGTACCTCTCTAATGCGCTGCCTCTGGTGCTGTTGAAGGTGTGCAGTGAAGTGGAATTGTTTTCCACATGTGTATGGTTTCTGCCCATTATGTGTTCCCTGGTGCTCAGCCAAGTGCAAAATATCTCTCAAATCCAGGCCACATATTTCACAGGGGTAGGCATTCTGGGAAGATGAATCTTTGGGAGTCCTGACCTGTGACTCTCCTTCCACAGAAATGCTCTGTTTAGAAGGTGCTTCCTCATGCTCCACTCCATGCCAACAACCTGAAAGCAAAGAAGTGATGGTAAAGTACATGTTGCCTTTATTAGGAGGGTGCAACCCAATCACAAATGTACATCTGACACAGTAAAGAACCAGTCCATGGGACTGTTTTCAGGAAAAGGGAGTTGGGGGGCCGGTGAGGTTGAGGAAGCAGCTGTTGTGCATTACTGGCCCTTTAAGGTCACAGACTAAGGTACGCTCACCAGACACAGAATATAAGGATAAGGTGTGGCCCAGGCGAAGAGGCATATTCTATAAGTCATTCCTTTGTCAATGGCTTTTAGCAGGATCGTATCTGCCGGTGACATGTGATGCTGTGAAGCGTATGTGTAGGCCCAGGAAAATCTGATGTACAGTAACTGGTGTTCAGGGATTCTTAAATGATATATACACACTTTGGGACATAACAATATAGGAAAACATCACAGAGGGAAGAGTATGAGGAACAGGTAATCTTTTTTGATTTAAAGTCTCTACTGTCTGTATTGTCTGATATTAGTATCACCATCTTTGCTCTCTTTTGGTTACTATTTACACAGAATAGCTTTGTGCAGGCCAGTATAAAGTTGGATTTTTTTGTTTGTTTGTTTTTGAGACAGGGTCTCACTCTGTTGCCTGGGCTAGAGTGCAGTGGCATCATCATATTAATAGTTCACTGTTACCTCAAGTAATCCTCCTGCCTCAGCCTCCTGAGTAGCTGAACCCACAGGTGTGTACCATTACACTCAGCTAAATTTTATACTTTTCGCAGAGACAGGGTCTCAGTATGTTGCTCAGGCTGGTCTTGAATGTGTAGCCTCAAGCAATCTTCCTGCCTTGGCCTCCCAAAGTGCTAGGATTAGAGACATGAACCACCATGCCCAGCCAGTTCATGTTTTTTTTTACTCATTTTGGCAATCTTTATCTTTTGTTCGGAGAGTTAAATAATCACTGATAAGGCAGGACTGACTTCTGCCATTTTGCTGTTTGTTTTCTATATGTCTTATAGCTTGTTTGTCTCTTATTTCCTGCATTACTGCTTCTTGTATTTGGTTTATTATTTATTTTTTTTGTAGTGAAACATTTTAATTCCTTGTCATTTCCTCTGTATACTTTCTATAGTTATTTATTTATTTATTTGTAGTTGCCATGGGGATTATACTTAGCATCTTAAAGTTATAGCACTCTAACTTGAATTTATACCAGCTGAACTTCCTTAACTTTCCTGTGTTCTATTGTGTGCTGAGTTGTTCTGGGTCAGTGTTAGCAAAATGACAAAAGTCAGTCCCTCCTTATCAGTGATTACTTTAAATGTAAACAGATTAAACTCTCCAAACAAAAGACAAAAATTGGCAGAATGGGTTTGAAACAAACAAACAAACATGATTCAACTTTATGCTGTCTACAAGAGACTCACTTTAGATCCAAAAACATAAATAAATTGAAAGTGACAGCCTGCAAAAAGATATTCTGTGCAAACAGTAACCAAAAGACAGCAGAGATGGCTATAATATCAGACAATAGAGACTTCAAATAAAAAAAATTACGAGACAAAGAAAGGCATTATATACTAATATACTTCAATACAGCAAGATATAACTATTATAAATGTTTATGCATGCAAATAACAGACCATTAAAACACATGAAGCAAAAATTGACAGAATTAAAGGGGAAAAGTAGACAGTTTTACAATAGTTGTAAATACCCCACTCTCAATAATGGATAGAACAAGCGGAAAAAGATAAGTAAGAAAATACAGGACCTAAAAAACCAACTAGATCTAACAAACATACAGAACACTCTACCCCAAAACAACAGAATACATGCTCTTCTCAAGTGCACCTGGGAATTCCTCAGTGCAGACCATAAATCAAGCATCATTAGATTTAAAAAGATAAACATCATAAAAACTACCTTTTTCAACCACAATGGGATGAAGTTGGAAATTAATAACAGGGAAACTGAAAAGTTAACAGATCTGTAGAAATTAAAAAATACAATCTTAAACAACAAATGGGGCCAAGAAGAAGTCACAAGAGAAATTAAACAATACTTAGAAATGAATGAAAATGAAAACAACCAACGAAACTTAAGGGATGCAGAAAAAGCAGCACTATGAGGGAAATTTATAGCTATAAATACTTATATTAAAAA